CTCCCAGGGTCCGTGGCAAATCGTGGCCCCGGACCCACCCCCTTTTTTTTCATCCGGGGCCCGGCTGTCCTATATTTCTTGCTACACGGTCAGAATTCCTGCGTGGCTCTTTACGCTCTCCTCTTTAAGGGAGCCCGAAGCCCACACCCCCTTCTCGAGCCCCCCTCCTCCACCCGTGGTAGCCCGCGGCCGTCGTTTTCTCACACACGAACCGAGCCACGAAAAGCACCACGTAAGCCTTTCTATTAATGATTTTTACGGGCCGGCCCCCCCCCGGTTTCTTTTTCTTCCATCGAGGAAGAAAGGACTGCTGCCCCTCGCGCGCTCCCTTAAAAAGAGAAAATCGCGGGGGCACGGAAAGAACGGGAAGAGAGAGGGGAGGGTCTAGAAGGGAACGAATCTCGTGCTGGAGAGACGTGCTCGGTGACGTATGCATTCGTGGAAGTTGACACGGGACCGACTAATTGCTATAATTAATTAAATAATTCTGGTAATTAGGCCAGAGGGATACGCGAGGCGATACCGTGCCGGAGATCGACGACCAACGGGGTGGGGAGGAGAGAAAGGGAGGCAGTGTAATGACCGTCGGTCAAGAAATATCTTCGGCTTCTGCTTCCGTGAGAAGATTGTTAGGAACACTGCGTGTACCACTGCTAATTTGGACAGGTTGATGAATAGTTTGAAAAAGTGTGCCGGTTGATTATAGGATGCCCCGCGTAAGTACTGCGCGTAATAGTTATAGATGACCGTGTCGATCGATAAAGGGAATTCGCGCGTAGTTTGTAGCGTATTTTATTTTCCCTTCTCTCTTCAATTTTTCCTCCCTCCCCGTCGCTTTCGTTCTTTGTAGTCGCGAGTTTCTTTTTCGAGCAAACAGCCGGGACAATCGGCTATCGTACGCTCGCCTCGACGCTGTCCATCCCGCCACTGATGCGCAGATGGGTAAAATATGACCGGAATCATTTCTACCGAGTTGCACTCTTCGGGGGCATTCTTCTCGGCTGTCAGCGATACTTTGTTTTGCTCGTTAGGTCGCGTTTTTTTTCTTCCCCTTCACGGATTTTATATGCCCCCCCCCGTGTTTTGTCAACCCGCTCTAAACCCCTCGATCCTCTCTCAGCGTTCGCGTCTTCGTTATTTTTACTGTTCTCGTAAATTCGACCGCATCTTTCAAACTTCCCGACGGAGATGGATCCATCGAGTCCGGACTCTGATTTATGCCATCATTGGCGATATTAGAAACACTTTGAATACACGAAGTTAATGGAAAATCGTTAAATCTATTTTTGGTTATTTAAGAAGAGTTTAACTTGGAGACTTTTCTTTGATCTATTACTAACTCAAGCACATCTTTTCTTTGCATTCTCCGCTTATGTATTTCGTTTTAATAGAATAATATCGTTGTACATCCCTTAGAGGGTACATCCAAATTCTTCGTTGAATGCCCCTTCGTCTTAAATAAAATTTATTACATTTATTTGATCAGAGTAGAATATGTTACCAAGATTGGGACCACCTACTTCACCCTAAGAAAAACACACACACGGGGTACCATTAGTATAACATAGCAAGCATGTCGCATATTTTATAATTTCTTGACCCACCAGAACCGTGAGATAAAAATCGAACTCCGTACGCGCTAAATTTTGCAACCGAAGGGGGTCAAGTTCTATAACCGGGAAAGTAAAAATATTTGACGGACCGTGTGACGGGAGATAGCAAGGCGGGGATGGGGACGGTGAACGAGAAGTCGATTTTCCCGGTGTCGTCGTTAAAAAGGAAACGGGGGCGAGCTGGTCTCGACGTGGAAGTTTTTCCGGTCTTCGACGCGGCTTTCGATTCGCCGTCGAAGAATTTCGCGATGTGGGTCGCGGGTCACGTTGGACGCGCGTTTCCGTCGTCGACGCGATAGCAATAAAATAATAGCGTCCTCGGGCCGGGGGAATCGGGGTCAGCGGATACGCTCGAAAACGCTAGGCGGGTTGGATCCTACGCGTCGCGGCGTGGCGGTGGTTCGCGCGCGTGCACCGGGGAATTTGAATGCTCGTCGTCGACGTCGGAAGTGCAGCGAGAGAGAGAGAAAGGAAGGCCAGACATCAATTGAGATATATTTACTTTCGAAAGGCGGCAGCCCTAAGGGACCGCGGTAATTGCTATAATTAATCGCGTGATTCCTGTAATTAAAGCGATCGGGGATTGCTGGCCGGAGAAGTATACGGTCCCGATGCTTCCGTAATAATACAGCCGCGGGAGGATCGGACAGACGAATCGTTTTGGTCAGATTTATTAGCACGCGAGTGCCGCGCCGAGGAACCGGACGCGTACGCAGATTTTTCTTCGGGGAATTTACGAGCGAATCGGATCGTACGCCATCGGAGAAAGAGTACGCTCCGTGGTACGTTCCTCTTCCGCATGTGCTCCAATGTCCATCGAAATGGTCAATTTTTCATTCTCAATCTTAGTCAACGATGCAATCGAGCTTAGATTTTGCCTGTTGCATCTTTTGCCCTGACTCGAATTGTTTATTGTAACATTTCTTGCAAAAAATAGAAGGTCCCCCGTTACTTTCGTAACAAATCTATCTAAATACCTAAATCCTTGCTCAAGAAATCTCTGGCGAACCACGATGTTCCATCCGCGAATTTCTTTGAAGCTAATCATCCCTCCCTGCGCGATTCGGTGTTCTCCACTCGTTCCTTCGGGAATCGGGGGCACTTTACGACAAAGTAAGCAAGAAGGTCGGGAAAGAAGGAGCGGCTGATACAAAATTAACAAGTGTGACACAGCCAGGAAGACGTCGAACGAGCAACCGCGAGACGAGCCGTTACGGCACCGAAGGGTTTAAACTTTTTATGCTCTATCGAGACGTTAAAGTCTCGTCTCTTTAAAACCGCTGTATTTCTTTTATCGACGTTTGCGAGTGGCGCGGCTTAATGACAGGACCTGTAAGTTCCGAGGCCAATAAACGTCGTCGTCGTACAACATTGACTTTCCTTTTCGTCTCGTGCGCGTACCCACGCGTTACCGATCGTTTTCGACGGCAAACAAAAAGGTTCGATTCACCGATGATTCGAAAAATTAGATTCGCAGCTCAGTTCCGTTTTCCACGCAGTAAAATAACTCTTTTAGTGACCTAAAGAGATCTCGATTCTATGGCTGTATTTTGTCAATTTTTTTCTCGACTTTCGACGTTGATATTAATATATGTGAACATAATCTCGTTCGATACCGACCAGCGAACGCTGCATTGGACCTTCCTCTTTCGAACGAGACCTCATTCGACCCAAAAGCTGCTCATATAAGGGCAAAATCTCTTATTTCGTAAACCCATATTTCGGGCCAAATTTTGTCGGTATACAGCGCTCTGCATTACCCATGTCTACCCCCTTAAGGTTTCGAATTAAATTTAATTTCAAAGTTGCCTAAAAGTGTCATGTGTATTTTTTATTTTAAAAGTTTCGGCCACTTTTCGGTGACGCTTCGACGTCCGCGATTCGAGAAGAAAACACCAAGATCGTTTCGAGAATCGTCCTTCGTGTGATTACGTAAGCTACGTTAGGCGTTGAATTTGGGTGCAACATGAGGATGGCGCAATTTATGGTTTACGAGATATAACGTTTAATTCGTGCTGCGTTTTATGCACGCGGTAACGATCTTGACGCGAACGCCGCGACACAAGGATAATGTTGCAATCATTCTCAACACGATTTGTCCAGTATTCGCGAGGTTCGTTAAATAGGACATTATGCAAATCTATCCGCGCACTTGGCAGATTCGAGGATACGGAATTATTTCCAAGTTTTCGCCCGAACGAGTGCCGATGCAGGCATTTTTCATCGACGAAGGTTTAAACATTCAGCAGGTATACGAATATCGATATAATAATACGCGAGCACAGCGACTGTCCTATTACTCTTGTTTCGATTGACGCGAGCATTTTAAAAACGTCCCGACCGGTTGTTTCAATCCCTCCCATTTCCCATAATTCTTAATTTTCGACTTCTACTCGTGCTCGGCAGCATTTTATTGTCCAGAGTCGGGTTGTAAAATAGCAATTCGCTGAACCTCACCCGTTCACCGTCGCCTAACCAATGTCTATATTCTCGTTTTTCTGCCTCTTCTATGTTACGTTTCCAGGAACTTGTATTATGTTATTTCGTCTTGTCACGGCGAATGAAGTCGTTAAACGAAAAAAAGAGAGAATAAATAGCCGAGCGTCCCCCGTCTTATCCCTTTCAGGGATTTTTTCCAAAGTCGCCGAGCTATAAAGGGTGTTTCGTAACACGGGATAAACAGCATAAAATCGATGGAAAAGTTATAGCAATTTTTCTGGTACGAAACTGGGACTATTACACTTTTCCAAAACAAAATAAACCCTATATTAACGACAAAGCTCTCAAGTTCTCTCTTTTCGAATCGTGGCTTTTTCTTTTCTTAAAAAGTCCCTTTACCCTTAGTAGGCACAATTCCACGGAGAAGTTTTGCTTGGAATCCCTGGTAATCATCAAATATGCGTTTCATGCTTGCTCTATTTATTATCGCCACCGTGTCAGATTTCTTGCCTCAGCCTCGATGTATCAACGTTTGTCCGGTAGGAAACGATTAGACGTAACTTGCAGGGGGAAGATCGACGTAGTTTGAATGTTAAAGACGTCCAGCGAGGACGGAAGAAAATTATTCTCGAAAGTTTATTGTCACACCTCGTAGGCAGGGTTACGAAATACCCTGTGCAGGCGCAGGCTGGTTACGCAACGCGCGACGCCGAGGCGAAAGAAACGCTCGGCGAAGGTGGTCTCGAGGAGCTAGGAATCCAGGAGGCGCGGAACACTCGCGGCGGGAAAACCTCGTCGGCACGATTAATCACGAGACGTTCGAAAGCCCCCGTGGGGAGCCCGGGTGCTCGTTATGCCGCCTTTCGGCGCAGCCGCGGATAAATCTAAAAACTCCGTGGTACCCGGCCGGTTTCTCGTTTGTTCACGGTTGTTGTTGGTCGGTTGCAGGCGATACGGCACCAAGTGCGGCGGTTGCCTCCAAGGGATAAGCCCTCAGGATCTCGTGAGGAAGGCGAGGGACAAGGTTTTCCACCTGAATTGCTTCACCTGCGTGGTGTGTCGGAAGCAGATGAGCACCGGAGAGGAGCTCTACGTCCTGGACGACAACAAGTTCGTCTGCAAGCAGGACTACCTGTCGGGCAAGCCGCTGCCGGACACGCATCACGTGCACGGTCATCATGGTGAGTTACAAGTGTCATTGGCCCCTCGTTATCCACCGCGGGGACTATCGCCACGGCTAGAGAAAGGGACGATTCCTCGTCGGTGTTTCGTTTTTTCAGATTTCGGGGGAACGCTAGCTCGCGACACGATATCGATCCTACAAAATTAGGAAATCAAAATATGGCTTGTAACGTGAAATTTATTTTATCCGTCTTGAATCGTGCCGCGGTGGACATTGCCCCGGAAATAGCGGAAAAGTAGAGCAATAGGCTGTTTCTTTTTTCTCGGGTTTTATACCGCTTTCGAGCGTAAATAGCGTCTTAGCATGTAACGAGGGTTGAATAAAATACGGCTCGCGCGAAACGAGGGTACGATACGAGGTATAATGCCCAGCGCCGCGGCGAGCGCATTAAAATGGTCGTTATTTCGCGGAGGAACGCGCGAAAAACTCCCGAAGACGACGATACGCGGCGGAAAGCCTCCCCGCGGGATCGACGGTATTCGTTACGACGCGAGTAAATTAGATCCCGATCGTTTGGATCTTAATTGTCGTGCTTTTTCGGTAACTTCGTCTTCCCTCGATTTAATACCGTTTTTGCGGAACGATGTATATGTAACGCGCGAGATGCGAGCAATTAAGGACCGCGTACCTTGGATTACACACAGTATGCAAAACGCGGGATGTTGTCACTCGATAATTTTCGAGATAATTAAGGTTACCGGTGCCCTAGGTTATAGAGAAACGCCTCGGTTCTTGCGTCAATCCGCGTCAGCCGCGTTTCGATGGAATCGGCTCCTAACGCTGTATTTCTTCGGCTCGAACGGTCGTCGATTCGACTGGCCGAGAGCCGTGTAATTAAAAACCCATTTGAATTCGATCAGTTCCGTCTCGCCTACAGTTCTGCGCGCGAAGTCTGCTCGATTTCGTTGCGGGAAAAGAGACAGTACCGCGCAGGGTGTAGAACAGGTCCTGTCGCAGGGTGGGTCAGAGTCGATTAACTCGAGTTTCACGTTTACAGGAGTCTCGAAAGTACGCGAGAATAGATTATCGAACGTAGAATAAAGCGGTAGAGGCTCTGCCCTTCGAAACGAACAAGGGTGCACCTACGATTTCGTTTCACGATCTCAACTTTGTCGCCCAGTGTATTTAAAAGGTATTCTGCACCGTCGCGATAACATCTACCCTGACTATTCCGCGTGCACCATTCCGCAGAAGTTGAAATCGCGGAGGGACAGGTTGTTCTTCCTCCCCTGTCGGGGTCCCCCCGTGACTCTCGCGGCACGGAATAATTTCTGGCGCGCCGGTAAAGAAAAACAAACCCCAAACGTCGGGATTTTTCATTGTTTCGGAGCGTTGTGGGCCAAGGGTGGGGGGATCGGAGGCTAGGAGAGTCCGGGGGATCACAGTTCAACGCGTCCGACGCCCGAGATTTCACGGAGTCAGGATCGCTCTAAAAAAGAGGGGCCAGAGGGGCATGGACGGGGGTTTTCACGGGGTTTTTACCCCCGGTCGAACGACAAGCTGTGAAAACACTGTGTACCAGCACCCGTCGGCCTACCGGTCGAGAGAGACGCACAAGGAAAAAATAGTGGATGAAGAGAGAGACGAGGAGGCGAGCTCGGTTTCACGAGGACCTCGTTCGTGCGTAAGCCGTGAAACGAAAACCGAAAGGTCGTTAGGCAGGGGCGAACCTTTTGTCGCTTCGATGCCGACGTCGAAACCGCAAAACGTCCGACAACTCGTTTCCTTTTTCGTTTTCTCCATCGTGGCGGGGAGGGGGGGAGAGGAGCCTTCGTCTTCGAGACGCGAGCTCCACGCGCGTCAGACCATCACGGACAGGACGAAGGCGTCATAATCGTTCTGACGTCTCGATGGCTGAACTCGCGATTAACTTCGGGAGGAGAACCATGCCTGGGACGATCGCGCTTTACGGAATATCAATATTCCTCCGAAATTGTCTGATTCGAGACAGGGTTCTGGTTCGTTGAGCCCAGAAACACGCTCGTGTTCGGGAACTTGCCTCTTTGGAAACAAATCATTTGGTTGTTGCACGCGAAATGGCGGATTTAAGTCGTCCTCCGCTATTAAACATTATTCGTTCTCGAGTAAATGAAAATGGCTGCCCAAGATTTCGTATAACTTCTACAATGATAGGAAATTGGTTCCAAAATCAGAATGTCAGAGGTCGTAAATAACTTTGGAGAGTATATAATGTAGATTATCAAATATTTTACACCGTTAAGACCAGCTCAGAATACTTAATAGCTGTTTAAGAGTGTCCGTAACACATCCGTAGCGTTAGAACGTGGGCAATCAGTGCCGTATTGTCCTTTCGATGTTTTCGAGAAGGGTTAGCCAATTGGTGCGAGGGACATTGAAATATCAATCCTCGATAAAGCCACTTTTCACGAAACCGTCCAAGCTGACATCCTTAACGTTCCGTGGACGGTTTACACTCATCGATCACTGCAATTTGAGCGCAGTCCCGTTCAGGAAACGCTCGTCTAAACCGCGAAGTTCTCCAGTCCGGTATCAGCGTCGTAATCAGCGCGTTCTCGAGACTCTCGGCGAAGCTAACTGTAATGCCGGCGAAACGTCAATATCGTTTCCCAAGATGACACGACTCGCACCCCGGAAACTTCCAGCAGTTTCAACTGCGTCGCGGACTCTTACGCAAAAGCGTGCGGCTAGAGTACGACGATTACACGACGATCAGATATCCGCCGAGCGTCTGGGATACTCCGCGCGTTTCCGACATTAATCTCTATCGTCGTTGCCGCCATTTGTCAGTCGTCGAATTTACAGCGCGGCAATTACCGCGGCGTCGATTAATCAGTAACACGTTTATCGATAACTTTTAGCATCTTTTGTCGCCGCGGTATTACGATGCAAATCCCGCCACCGTGCGCCGCATAATTTTCTACTTTCGAAAAATCGTAATGAACCCCGTGGATCGTGGCAGCGCGCGCGGACGCGCTCAAAAGCGAAATAATTGTAGCCGCGTTTAATTGCTAATTTCGTACGGAACATCGACAAATTTCCTCGCGGCCGCTGATAAATTATCGTGCCGATCGCCATGGAGTCGCCACGACGCCTCGCGCGTCCAAACTCGACGTTGATCGACGTAATTATTCCGCGGTAAAAAAATTTTTTCAACGTCGTCTTGTGAATAATATGTCGATAACGGTTGCAACTTTGTACGACGTTGTACGTATCGTCGATGGTCGAGGAATTGGCGAGCCTGCCGACGGGTAAACGAGAATTTCGTTGAGTATACGCTGGACGGGAATCTCGTGTTCCTTTCGATAGCCAAACTTAAGATCGGCCATTTTTGTAAGAATTATCATTATAAAATTGTGGGTCTTCTATATGCCAAAATAATATATATCGAAAGATCGATTATCGTTACATAATCCGAGTGTCGCGAATACGTTGAAATTACGAAACGCGGGACAAATGTTCGGGCTCGAATTATACCGTACACGGATCGTTGAACGGGAAAAGTGATTGGCGGGGCTTTTCCAAGACAATGATTCGATGATTGATGTGATTAAAACGCACGGTTCGAATCGTTCACGAGCAGAATCGTCCAACCTTTCGGCAGGGGGCGACTCGCTGATGGGTTCGGGATCGGAAGACGAGGACGAGGACGGTAGCGCTCATCATCACCACAGCGGCGTCGGTGGATCTCACCTGGGGCCTCACAATCTGGGCCCGGCCGGTGCTGGTGACCAAACGGTTGGCCACACTGGCGATCTACCTCTTGGGAGCGATCCTTGCAAGCAGGAAGACTCGGAGGATCAAGGTGAGTCCTACATATTCTACGGGAACCTGTTTCAGGCGTCTCCATTTTCTACGAACTGCTATAATTTTTAGAATACCTGTTTCGCGAGCCACGAATTGACACTCAAATGATAAAACCCTTTATTTATTACCGCATCGATTATATAACAGACATTCCACCCCGCGAGGATTCCAGATTCGTTCGTAAATTAAAAACCGGCAATTAAAATATTTTCGAACGGATCGAAGGTGGTTTCTACCCCTAACATTCATTTGAGAATGAAACTCAATTTGTGAAACGATCGAGGTCGTCCAACGACTTAATCGCGGAGTCCTCGAGGGCGGAAAATTCGTGGGCTTGACCCTGAGAGCGCGTCTCTTCGAATTACTAAGCGCGTCAGGTCTTCCGGGGTCTATTATTCGCTTCTGCTCTTTTATCGCGGGCGCAACAATGACCCCTCCGCTTTTGCCTCTCTCGAGCCACGCTATACACCCGGTACAACCATCTCCCGTGCCACCAGCGAGGGAGGGGGGGAATCGGGGTGTCTTCGCGAAGGGTCGCCCCTGTAGCGCGGTGTGACACTGTCCAAACATTTTCTTTGTCCCGTGGTTAAGACCTCCCCGGGTATATAGATTATCGTGAAGAGTTGGGGCCCTATTCCGCGGCCGTGTGCGTGCGTAAGCGTTTATACATTGTGCGTGCGCACGCAGACGCGCACGCACGGCGCAGAGTATAGCTTTCAACCGAGGAGCAGCCACGGTAATCCGATGGGGGTTTCGCATCGCTTCCGGGGGATTGGCTCCGATTGTTGTTACCTCGATCCCAGCCGATCAAGATTCCGAGATATGTATATTATGTGCCCGTACATGTATACGTTATTAAGAAACCGTTCGACGGAAAAAATGTTATTGTTTGTTCAGCCGATAACTCTCGTTGTCGCTGGAAATCCCCTTACCGGGCCGATGGGAGGAGGAATATCTAAACAATTCACGCGCACTTCCTGATCGTGATCGAAATAGTACGTTCTAGCATAATCTTCGTTTTCACTTTGATAATTCTGTGTCGTTAACCATCGATAACCAATTCCTTTTCGCGATAATATGATCAAAGATTGGGGCGTATTGCAATCTTCGTTTCGACTTCTTGCCTTTAACGATTCTGTACTGATACCCAATTCCTTTCTGAAATCTGGATAAAATGATAATTCTTGATACGATCAAAGATTGGGAGGCATTGTCTTGCAAGGGAATAAAAGAAGTAATGAAATATTCAGCGAATGTTGAGAGGCGGGGCCGATGGTTCGAAAGTTTACACGCGTCACAAGTGCCCAATGGGTTAAACAGCTTTGTTTGCGTTGCTCGAAGGTTCCCTGGACGGAGATCCCGAGACGAGGGATAGCCAAACGGAGAACAAAAGTCCGGACGGCGGTGCTGGGGGTGGTAGCGGCGATGGCGGCGCCGGCTCGAAGAGACGAGGTCCGAGAACGACCATAAAGGCGAAACAGTTGGAGATCCTGAAGTCTGCCTTTTCGTCGACTCCGAAGCCCACCAGGCACATCAGGGAACAGTTGGCGAAAGAGACTGGCTTGCCCATGAGAGTGATACAGGTTCATATTATTCACTTGTTTCCGTAACCTTGCATCGCGTGGATTATGGGAAACGCGTTACTTCAAAGAATATACGATTCGTTTTACCCTCTAGTCCCGACTTTTCAATTCTCTGTTCCAACGCGATACTAATTTGCCCTCGATTGAAATTAAAAATTACGTGATTTTTAAGGCAGTACGAATCATAAGTTTCGATTTAGAATTATCCCCTGTGATACAGTAGTTCCTCGCGGAACACACTGTATATAGATCGCTGATACTTCGTATGTAATTCGATGAATAATGCACTAGCGGAAGCCATTATCTGCACCTTCGCGATATCCTTGCGAATAAAGTTCTTTCTCTAAAATTAACCAAGAGAATAACGATAATCACAGTTATTACGCCATCCTCTATAAAAAAAAAATTTCAATTTCAACCCCTAAAGATATTCCCGACGTTATTCGATTGAAATTCTCACTCTCGTTCGAGTGAAATTTGTATCTTGACACTCGTCCTTGCCTGCGAAACTCCTACACGGATTCCTGCAATCGCTGGATCTTTTCCGCGCTGTCCAAACACCTATCGGTCGCGCTAATTCAAACAGGAACGCGCAGTATTTCATTCGCGTCTAACCGGCGATTCGTTTTTCTCGTTATCGTTACGACCGGGCGGTAAACGTAGCCCACTTTCCTGTCGACGATACACGCGGGATAACGCGATCGAACTTTCGCGGGTAACGGGAAGTTGGACGGTAATCCCTTTCAGGCCGGTGAATTCAATGAAAGCAGTCGGTCGTATCCGTTTTGCGCAGGTCTGGTTTCAAAATAAGAGGAGCAAGGAGCGTAGGTTAAAGCAACTGACGTCGATGGGCAGGAGCCCGTTCTTCGGCGGTTCCAGAAAAATGAGGGGCTTCCCCCTGAACCTGAATCCCGGTGCTCTGGGCGGCGAGGACGGACCGCCGCCCGGTTTCCCGTATTTCGGCGCGGACAAGTTCGAATTCGGTTACGGCGGGCCCGTGGCGTTTCATCACGAATACTTTGGTGCTCATCCGCCCCCTCATCCCCACGGACCGCCCTTCAGTGGACCGGGCAATCCTGGTGAGTCCCGAAATTCCGACTAATCTCGTCTCTTACGCGATTCTCTCGACGAACTTATATTAACAAAAATACGTTTACCTTTCGATCTTACGAAGCGACAAAGAAAATAAGTCTGTTTCAATGTTATCCTTTTCTACGGTCTCTCGTAACTTTCCAAGTAAATTTTTCACAATTTTGATCGATTAAAGTGCGCGCGTTACGCGCGTCAGTTTCGAAACCTCAGCCAGCAATCTGCTCGGTTGGAATCGAACGAGCCTGGTCGGGATCCCATCGCGAGTATAATAAACATCGTAGCGGGTAGGTAGGTCGCGATAATTATGACAGCCCGGGTTCGGAGATAGCGAGCCGGATACGATCCTCTCTGAATAGTACGTAATCTGTTTCTGACAGGTTTGGACCCTGCGAGTTTAGCGGGTATGGCGGCCGCAGTGGCGGTGACAGGGGAATATCCACCACCGGGTGCGGGAGGCGGCCCTCCGGAATTTCTCACGGGCCCTCCTGGACAGGGGCCCCCTGCACCTCCTGGCGGTAGCCCCGGAGAGTTCCTAGCACCTTCAGGTACGACCAGATCCTTTTGAAAGGCTATACTTACGAACGAACGCAGAATCTATTTTCGCAGTCGCGTGGGAAGCGTTCCTTTTGTTTTTCTCGCGGCCTCGTTACGTACGTCAGTCATCGAAGATACGATGTAACGCGATTGGATTTCGATCGAAGCGCAGGATGTTCAGAGAAGTCCCTTACGCGGCCAGTATACCTAGTTGCATTCAATTAACTCGTCGGCAGAGCTGTAATTAAAACGAGTACGAGCACGGTGAACTAAGAATCCATTTTAACGATACATTGTACTCCCCGTATTGGGCATCGAGCTTGTAAATATTGTTAATATCGACTGTACCATTTGAAGACAACGAATACTTGTTGAAGTGCGTTAAATATCGCGCACGGCCCATTTGGTGAGGTGAATCCTTGAACGCGCGTTTGTTGTAACCGTGGTTTTAATAAACGCGCCGTGTAGGGATCTTGACTGCATCCTGTGGTTCGAAATAGAGCGCCCTACGAGGGACGTGTTTTCTTTTCTTTTGTACCTTCGGGATCCCACGTTTCCCGGTAGATCGAAGCTGCGAACGGAACCGATTCGATGGGTTTGATATTTCTCAGGTGGAGCACAGGGTAATCCCAGTGCCGGTGGGAATGGTGGCGGTCCAGGTGGCGGCGGCGGCGGGGGTGGGTTCCTGGAGCCGCACCAGATGCAGAGCGAAGGGCTGGCCTGGTAGTACGAGTTTTAATTAACGTTGTTTCGAAATTTCGTTGCTCCCCGGTCGGTCGAGCGAAAAACTCGATCGTTGCGTCTTGGCCCGACGGGGAGGCCTTCTGACTCTGTTCCGGTTCTCGAGAGACATTTTTCCCCGGCGGCGAGCGGCAAACGTAATCGTCGCCAGATCGACCTTGCATCTTGTACCGTTCGTTTTTGTAAGATACACGTACATACGATAAGACGATCGACCGTTAAACTTCGTTTCCGTCACGGTTATCATTGTCATTATCAACATTATTATCTTTATTATTATTTTTTTTTATCATTATTACGGTAGTTGGCGAACGCCGGCGCTGCTATTATTATTATTATTATTATTACGAGGAAAAAATGATTAAATATTATTATTAATATTATTGTGTATAAAATTTCGAATGTCCTATCGTGTAATATTATACCCTCCCTGTTGATTACTTTTCGACGTTAATTTTAAGAGACACCCTGTAGATATCTGCTGTTATACATTCGAGGATCGTACACGCGTACAAGGAACGGCGTGCACACCAGCTGCGTACGTTATCACACACGCTGTAACAGTTACACACATACACACAACATATTATATATATATACACGGTTCAGACAGGAACACACGCGTAATTCTACACTTAAAGACGCTGTACTAATTATCATTAAAGTATAAATATAAATAGGAATGTGTAACTCGTAACTGTTAAGGCGGCGATCGATGTAAATAAAACTGTCTTTTTGCGGAAAGCGGGCGAGCGAACGTCAAGTGGTTGGTCACCGAATTAAAGTCTGTTACAATTGTAATTGCAACGCAACAAACACGCGATGGAAAGAGACACGCCGCCGCGATGCATAATGATTATAAATATTATTATAATAAACCACCTCGTATTTCCGTATACGTACAGTTGTGTCCAGTTTTCTTTTCACCCGACTATACTGTTCACGTTCTCTTTACATTTTAGAATCGTACTACGTGGATCGTCGGCAGATCTCTGGAACACCACGAAAAAAGTAAGTTCACGTTTCACCTTTTCACCTAGAAGGTATCGTAATTTTTGTCCCTCCAACTCATGCATGAAACAAGGTTTGACGTCAAATATTTTTCTCAGAAGAGTTTCACGTGTATATTTTATAAAAAGGGGCGTTTTTCGATAGTTGAGAAATAGTGGAGGGTGGAGAAAGTTATAGTAAATAACATTGGTAGATCGCGATCGATTGGTTGAGCAGGCTCCGTACTATGCTATTCTATCATAATTGTCTGTTGAAGGGTGCGAGTAATATCTGTGCGTTGCGGATCGTGTGGCTAGGTGTGAATGACAAGTGTCTGGAACAGAGAGGGAGAGATCGAGTGGATGTTTCAGCTAGAGTTCAGTTATTCAACAACAATATTGGTAATGTATCGAGCGCAGTGCGCGTCGAAATGAGTGCTCGAAACGCATCGAGAGATTTCTGGCTCTGGGAGACACGTGACGCGTGTGTGTATGGATGGAAGAAAGAGGAGAATCAAAGTGAGTAAGGTAGGTGTTAAAACTACAGTTTGATATATTCCGGGTGCAATGTACATTCGAATACCTGTATTTTCAAAGTCTAATTCCATATTCCTACCATTGTCCGTCATTGTGGCTTTAAAACAGTACTGGTCCTAGAAGATGTAACTAATTCGAGTCTCAGAGGGTTAATTCAGCTCAAATACAGGGCTAGTTGAAGAGGTTTCCTATATTTACCCAGCCTGTGACTGCACCTCTTTGTCACGTGGTATCGTAGAAATCGAATAGATTTAAAATCTTGTGTAGCGTATAACGAGGATCAAGGTTACGGATAAGGTATCCACTAATTTAAATAAGTATCACAGGAGGCAAGAGTACACATTAACAATATATACCTCGTGATACGTTGTCAAGATCAACGTCCTGAGTGACTTGAGTTCCGCATGAAACCACTGCTCGACCTTAGCTTCGAAGGTACACGCATTTTCACATATTCCTTCTCTGTGTGTGTGTCATATTAAAATCGCGAGGTGGCCCGCGTCTCTGCATAATTACTTTTGCATGCATCTCTGAAACTGAGATCGAGCGACAGTTATAAGCATACCCGGAACGTTGACCTCAACCACGTCGAAATCGGTGGACCTCTTCTCGTATCGTAATCGTAAAGAAATCGAAAATCTCGGTTTCCATCGTCGATCCCAGCGGGCCAAACACCTGAGACCATCGACGCCCGTAGTCGAATCTTTCTACCCTCTAAATCGTCGCCCGCAAACGCATCTGCGCCTTGGGGGTGGTTGCGTGCCCTAACGTCGTTAGTCGGTGCAACGTCGTTTTCCACGAGGAAAGGGGGCGATTCGTTTTCCTGGACATCTGGTGAATTCGATTTTGATGTGTTTCTGCCCTCCGGGGGCTGTTCGAGTTCTTCGGGGCTGCGTGGCGCCGTTCCCGTATCCCTGACAGTCCCGCTGGGGACAGAAACGATGCTGCTACATCCCCCGTGTCTGTTTCGCGCACAAGCCTGTGTACATACATGCCATCGACCCCCCGCGACCTCCTCGGCAAGCGTGTCTATCAAGTACGTGTGCACAGCTCGTGGCCCGCTGTCACAGTTTACCGTCGCATCCCCAGGTAGTCGTGTATTTTTCAACGCGAAAACGTGACAAGCTAGACGCTTTTAATATTGCAAACCCCGTTGTTTCCCTTCTTGGCACTGTTTCGGGACAATTTTATGCCACGGTGGATATTCGGTATGATTCTTATCCCTTTTTGATCTCAACTTCTCTGTGGACCAGAGGCTAAACTTTCGTTGGCTAGGTAAAATGGTTTTAAAGAACGAAGAAGCTCAAAGACGAAGATTTAGATTTTAATTCTAATATCAAGAAGATTCTTCTGAACGATATAAAATAGAATAATTGAAGCGATTGAAGTTTTTTGAAGCGATAGTTCGAAGCTTGGTCCCCCGATCGTTTGCGGGTCCTCGCGGGAGTTTATCGTGGAATTTAACTGGATCGAGTGGCGGGCTCGTACAGCGTGTGTACATTGTAACAGCGATTCGCAGGACGAAGGGCGTCACCGTAGCGTGTAATGCGTGTCCTGCCAGGATCTCTTGCAGAAGATCCGTCGGGAGATTCGACAGATGCGTGCCCGCCTCCGCGCCCCAGGAACTACCGCGGGGGTCCCGCGGGAGCTTTGCAGAGACAAACCGTCCCAGCGGGTACCGTATTCACCCTATCGTATCATTTCTTTGTTACCCTTCTGTTAACGCAAGGTGAAGGACATTCTTACACGTCGCGATCCTTCAAATAACACTCGCGTTTCGAAAAAGAACTAATTTTCAGAAGGAAGACGTCCTGGTTCAGAGTAGTAAAAATATCCTTAACACTTTGACTGCCACGTCAAATATGGGTGACAGAACTTTTAACAGTGGAACTAAAACAATGAATTCTCAAGTTAAAATGTTAAAGAAAATTAATTTTAATGAGTTTAGAAAAGTAACTATTTCGACAATGTTTAAGTTGTGCGGTTTACAATTGCCTAAAATCAGAGTTCTGGTCTCGTGAACAATTTTAGGATTTTAGACTGGCAGTCAACGTGATAATAAGCTCGCTGGGACTAGAACTATGTTAATATAGAGAACTGATTTTTGTTTCGATGTACATGGAAACGTGACGCGGCCATAGCCATTCTTTACGTGTATTTCCATATTTAGCACATTTGCGTGGAAAGACATATTCAAGGGTAAATGACGCGATGCCATTTACAATTAGCTCTGTCTACTATCGTCATTAAAGTGATGGGAGATTCTTGGCATACTCCAAATATAACTACGACTTTATAAACCAGTATGAAACCCATATTTCGAGCTTCGATACCACTATAATCGTTACTGTAGCTGTCTTGAAAATTTCCACCCTCGACAATCTAGTATATTCGAGAATAATATTCGTTCGAATTTAAACGCAAGACGATCCACGAGAAATTAAACAGAGGATCAATTATTTACGAGCGGAGAATTTTTCTGGAAGAACCCAGGCACGCTCCGTAGAGGCAGCCCGCCGTGGAGGGGTTGGAAGGACGCTGGGGCTGCTGCGTGTCACAGTCGAAAGCGTTTCGAACGCTCACGTGTCCGAGCACGTGTCGGGAAACAAGCCCCTGTCGCGGCAAATCCTTCGTTCTTCTTCCGTCATTATGCAAGAAGCTCTTACAAATCACGCCCTGGTTACCGTGCACGTTCCAACCCTACTGATCGTCGCCGGATCGAATTAACGTACCAATGCTTGGAAGGTAATTGGAATTAACCCTCGTTATTGCCGTTCGATTGCCACTATTTTCTCGGTATACCGCCTTTGGCGACGCGTTACGTCTGCCTCTTTCCGGTATACGTTCTTACCAACGACTTTGAAACTTCGATCGATCGCGCCCCTTCGTTTACAACCCTCTTGTCATGGAATCGTTGGATTTCCCGCGAGCCACAAACATTTTTAACCCTGATCCCATTCGTTTCGTTCGCGTCAGAGTCGTAAATTTGAGTAGATTTGATTTAAAAAAAATCGGTGGAAGCGATGGCTCAAACCTCCCTATTTTCGCACAGACTACAAGATATTCAGATTCGAACGGAATTGATCGCAATTTGCCTTATCGCCGAGCTCTCAGAGAATCCATCTGCGCGTCTCGAGAGATTCTTCCCCGAAGCTGGTGTTCCTGGAAGCGTATGAATCCGTCGTGCAAGATCGGGACGACGAGAGACACAATGGAAACGTCGAGTGGCCGTTGTCACCGATCGTGAACGAGGCGGATGAAACGTGCCTTTTCGTGGCGCGCAGACCGACTTATTTTCGTCTCGCTTCGAACCGGACAGACAGACGGCAGAAGTGTCCAGAACGACCTCCTGGTGTTCAGGCTGGCTTAGGCTAATCCGAAATCCGGATTACTCGTGCCTCGGCTGGTCCAGTCTTACGAGCAGCGTTCCTTCTTTTTTCTTCCATCCGCTGGCATTATGATGCGTG